TATATATATGTATAAGCAAACAAGTATTTGAAATACTAATAACCATAATCACACATATGCGTGAAATAAGATCTTCCGAAATATCAGAGCTTTAAATGTTAAACTTACATATTACAAAAAAAGAAAACACGTTCACTGTACATGCGTGACAAATGCATTTTAAAAGTGCAAATGTTTCATGTATTTATTCCTGATGAGTCACATTTTAAGTATCCTCAATTAAAAATAAGTGACCAATTAAAAATAGATTGTCACAGGACCACATACAAATATCTTACATGACCAAAAGGTACATATGAAAATAAGACTCAAATAACAATGTCATTTTGATCCCTTTAATTACTTTTTTTTTTGTTTCCCAGTTGTTCATAGTATTACACAGAGAAATTAGCCACACGATTAATGTTGATTGCATTCTGTTATTCATAACATTTTTTTTCTTTTTTTTTGTTAATTACATTATTTCCTATTTTAGTGCTAAAGCTAAAAAAGTTACACAAGAACTAGCACACTGATGCCTAACCCATGAGGACATTGAGATGCAAATCTACTTCACAGAAAATAAAAGGGTTTCATTGAGGAGAATTAAAAATAAAAAAGGAAAAAAAAATGGACACACATTTACATTCACACCGTCCCAACACATGCCACGCCACGACCTGATCCATTCCTTTCCCCATAATGTTTATTTTATTGTGTCAGTATTCTCACATTTATTATGGTTATTTCTCTATGTATTTGGTAAAATTTTCAGATTCCATCTATTTGTGCTTTTGGTAAAGGCTCCAGTGAATCTGGGGTGATCTTGCAGTCTTTACGCTGAACACAATTATCAAGATTCCAACAATGGTCTCAAAATAAACTTTCCATTAAAAAGAAAGAAGAAAAAGACCATGTTTCCCACTTGCACAACCCATCAAAGCCAATGTTCTGTCATGAACAATAGAAAACGTGTCTATAAAAAAAAAAAAATGTGATTTGAGAATCTCTACGAACACTGGGCGAACTCTCCAATTAACGTTGATTAGCCTATTCCGATTTACTGTCATTTTCAGGGCAGTGTTTTGCTGAAAGTGATTGTTACAATGCATTTGCAGTTGTGAGGTTTTGGCCTATGTTGTTATTGGCAAGTGTTAGCAATCGTGTTAAAAATATAGCAAAAACGCAGTGATTTTGGTATTCTTTCGAGCGCTCTATATCAAATCTTCTACATGTTTAAAGTTTAAACATTGCAGCTACGCTAACCTGCTAATCTCAATGGCTTGCCAATTGGAAGAGCTCTTGGAGCTAATGGGTTAATAACATGGCTAAACCCTGTTGGCAGTGAAGGGGCTGGTTAATCAGCAAAGTGAATTTGACACAAGCGCTTTGAAGCGTCATTCTTCTGAACAAACTCGCACGTATTCCCTTATTGTGATGTAAAGTTAAAGCACCGCACGCACGCTCAGGCATGTCCACACATACTGTTTTACTCTGTGTACAAGTCACTATGGTTCAGCATTAGATCACACCATGGCTTTAAGTACACTTCAAACCAGAGCTAAAGCTCTCAAGTTACGTTAAATCAAGGAACGGCCATTCAAAACGACAAACGTCACCATCACCATGAGTCCACCTCAACGTTTCCAACCAAACACTTACTAGCGTACTAACAGGTTACAACAAAGTGTTACTGTGCCATGGTACAGTGATGGCATCAGTGGCAAGACTAAAGGTCTTTGCTACTACAGTACTAGGTGGTTACCATATTTATACTGTAGCCTAAAATGCTATTGTACTCCAAAGTACTTAAAAAAAAATACCATGGTACGTGTCCACAAATCTAAGGTACACATCCAAAAACTCACAATACACTCTCATGTCAGTTTGTCAGTATTTTATGTTTTGGTGGCTAATTTATGTGAATTTGTATGATCTGCCCACTTTAGAGGCAGTTTAGAGGTGGACTTGTATGCTTACCTGTATTCGGTAAATTGTATGTTTATGTACGAATCATATCGTACGAATTCATACGAAATTGGCAACTCATTTATTGAGAGTGCACTGTAAATGAAGTACTGTTTTCAAGTCAGCATTTGCTTGAATAAACACCACTATTATTAATCCTGCAGGTATTTTATCTCTCAAACTAGTAGTTGAGGTGATTGTTTTATAACTGGACATATGAATAAAGGTCATTGTACACAGAGTCCGAAATTTTCGTAATTTTTTTTTTTTTTTTTCAGATTCGTCATCCTTTCCTATCATAATGCTTGCTACGGATGCGAAAACGCAGAAAATCGAACCTGATCAGAATTTTTTTATTTATTTATTTATTTTTATGACGGACGAAAGTTTCGGAGGCAGTAAACGTGATTGACACAACGTGAGGTCGTATTTATTTTTTAACGTTCTAAACTTTTGGACGAGAATTTTGGACGCGGTGTGCAAAGACCTTAAGTGTTTACATGTGTGATTTTGCACCAGTTACACTTTTATAGGGGAAAGCCTCTAAAAGCCAAACACCTGATCACGTAAATGCCCACCATACTCTCATGACACTCTGTAAGTACTTCACACTTTGGCGAATTCAATTCGTCCAAATTCGCAAACACGTAAATAGGTACGCTTTCTCATGAGACCGGGTTTAAATGTCTTTATGGGTGTTCTGTCGGCTTAGTTATGACACACAAGCAGAACAAATTTCTAGTTTCTCGTTCATACAACTAGAAAATATTTCTAAATTTAGCCACACATTTCCTCTGGGGAGCTGACGTGCACTTTTGTGATTGTGACTGGAAAAAAGGATGTGAATGTCTCATGTAGGCTTAAATACTGACATATTTTCTTGCAGTATCTTTTATTTAGTGTTTTGCAGAGATGTGTTTTACAAATTAGCTGATTTCTATTAGTTATCAGCATTTCATTGTACATGTAAACACACTCGATGGAAGCACTTGTCCGACTCTTCTACCAATCTTGCCCTCACCTGAAGGTCAACTTGAAATCGATTGTATTACTTTCTTGATTTGTGTTTCTGCTCTTACTATAAGCGATTCATCAATGCATGTTAGTCTTCGTAATCTTTCATCAAACTCGCTCAAACAACTTTCCTTTTCGGCTTCTGGCATCGATTTCTTTTATTCCCAACCACCATCACACAGACACTTTTTCACCATCTAATCAATTCCTCACAGATTAATCCCCGTCCGGTTTCTATGAAAATACATCACATCACAAATGTGAAACTCATGTCACTTGACTTCAAAACAACGATTCCTGTGACTTTCTCGCTGTTCTTTCCTATGTATGACCACACTCTCTCACTGAAATAAAAATGAACGTAAAATCCGTAAAAAAAAAAAAATACTAAAAATTATAGACGGTAAGAAAATGTGGTCAAGAAAATTCAGGCATGCATTTCAGAACAAGCAAAGACCCCAATGGCCCCAACCCCCGCAACCAAACAAAAAAATATATAATTACAGTATTTTTTCTTTCTCGCTTTTATGTGTATAGCTTTTTTGTTAAGGGCAAATGGAAGACATGAGGTGGCTGTCATCTACAGAGACGAGTATTTCGGCCGAAAACGTTCGCCACCATCTCCGACAATACTGCACCCCGCTCACAGCAGCAGGATTGTATAACAGAAAAAAAATACAGAATACAAAAACGAAAAAAGCACACCAAAAAATAATAATCACAAAGAAGTTGATAGACACACATTATGAGCTTATATACTCTTTTCTCTATACTTTTGTTTAGAAATTCAACATGTAATTAGGAGAAACATCGTTGTTTATTTTGTCAGTGACGCTTGTCATTATTATTATTAATAATCAATATTCATATTAGAAGTATTACTATTGGTTAACACTACATTTGGGTCTCACTAAAGGCCCCGCCCATGTCACAGAGTTAAAGGGCTCTATCATCTGCCTGACGGGTCGGTGAAGGGAGGGAGAGAGTCGTCATCATCCGTCCGTCGTCACGCACGAAACTCACGTTCTGCCACCCAGAAGACTGAAGCGTTTCATCCGTCCATCTCTCTCCCCCGCTCTGGTGCTTCTCAGCACGATACCTCCATGGTATGGGACGGGCTCGGCGGGAGCTGTCCGCCCTGCGAGCTCTGGGACAGCGTGCGGGATCGGGAGCGCGAGCCCTCCATGGAGTAGGAGGACGAGAGCGAGGTGGTGCGCGAGCGCGAGAGACGCGTCATGCAGGACGACGCCACTGAGAGAGAAAGAGAAGCAGCGCAAACATAAGAGAACAAACAGAAGAAGAAGCCGAAAAACAAGGAACAAACAAATAAATAGGCCTAAATAAAAAAAGTACAAATTGAGAGACGCAAACTCAGAATTCCGCGAAAAAGCCAAAATTCCAAGATGTAAATTCCGAATTTTTGTTTTTTTAAAACGCAACAGCATAAATACAAATATGACGCTTCGGTCAGCGATTTTTTTTTTTTCCCAACAAAATGTTTTCTCTAGTTAATCTGATTAAAAATACACCAAACAGGTCAAACTAACCCAGACAGCACCCAGTGTTGGCCCAGACCCGGCCCACATCTGGTCTGCATGGATCTGGGCCAACACTAGGTTGCGCGGTCTGGGAATGGATTAAACGTTTTGTTACTGATAATGAGAAGCTAATCATTGCTGTGCTATTACTACAGTTCAAAAGTTTGGGATTCGGCAAGATGTTTGTGAAAGGCACCAAGGCTGCATTTATTTGATCAGAAATACAGTAAAATTAGGAATATTCTGAAATATGATCACAATTTAAAAACACCGTTTGCCGTTTTAATATATAGTCAAATAAAATTGATTTCTGTGATCAAAGCTGAATTTTCAGCATCATTACTCCAGTCTTGTGTCACATGATCTTCAGAAATCATTCTAATATGCAGCTCAAGAAACATTTCTGATTACTATCAATGTTGAAGACAGCTTGTTACTTTTGTAGAAACCATCAGACATGTTATTTTTTAGGATACTTTGATGAATATAAAGTTCAAAACAACAGCATTTATTTGAAACAGAATTATTTTGTAACATTATAAATGTCTTTACTGTCACGTTTGATCAATTTAATGCATCCCTGCTAAATAAAAGTACTAATTTCTTTCAAAATAAATCTTACTGACCCCAAACTTTTAAATGATAGTGCAAGTAAGCAGTGGTTGGTTTACATTATTGTGATATTTCTCAATAAAGTGCTCTCAGGTCACTTACTGTATCCCATGCCTTGAATGAAGTATTTAAACGCTTCTGTCAGTTTACTGGGCTGTGGAGACACATTTAATTTAGACTCCAAACAGATTTCATCTGAATAAATTAATTGTATTGATAAATAATGATGTGATGTGACTAACCTGAGTAAGCTGTGGCATCCCGCCGGCATCCGCCATCTGAATAAAAACAACAGAGAGCTCATATAAAAATACACTTGCTTTGTGACAAACTGATCTTATTTTCTAACAATATAATCATTGTAAGATGATTAAATTAACAAGTTATTCAAATTAAATGACCCGTTGATAATATGTCATGCTTATTTTTGCTCTTCTTTAATGAAATCTAATAAAAGTACAAAATCAGTCATGAAACAGGTGAAGTTTAGACCTTGAGAAATGAGGTGGTAGTTGGATCTAGTTTGCTGTTGCACTCCACCTAGTGGGCAGAAACAGACGTGCAGTGAGATGAATCGAGGCTTTCTGTGGATAAGCCATTTCCTTTTTACGACTGACTGACATAAAGACTTACAGCAGCTTCCTCATACGGAGCCTGATCACCGACCACCAACATCACAGGACATCTGAAAGACACAGACACGTGAGGAGACGCCAAAAGAGAGACGTCTGTAAGAGAGAATGGCTTTATTTTTCATCATTCTTACTTGAAGGTCTTATTCCTCTCGACGTTCAGATCTCTGCGACTGTAAGGCAGAGAGAAAAACATAAAAGTTTGATTATTAAGGTGCTAAAAGTGCATTTCTTTCATTGTGTTGTATCACGTGTGTGAATATGCTTGCTGGTACAATGCATCACATCTTAATTGCATGGAATTGATAGTTATGAATGGATCACTTTTTAATGCAATTTGAAGTGTATTTTTGAGCATGCAAGTACACAGCATTCAAACGTACAAAATTAATTTCTCATTAATTTTCTGCTTTGGTAGTATGATCAACAACAACAACAACAACAACAAAAGTGACGATACATGCAAACAATGAATGATGATGATCTTTGACCATCACAATTCTACATCATTTTTTCAGATTTTCAATTTATTTATTTATTTTATTAATAGCGGGATGCAAAAATTAATCATAGTGTTCAAAATTGACCAAAGTTTCAACAATCTGACTATATTGTTGGTGTAATGAAATCCATATTTGGAATATATGGCTTTACCAAGTCCAAATCAAACAGGAATTTAGCAATGTTTTATACACACATCACTGAATGCTTCTGGCTGTTGAACTGTTTTCGTGCTGCATGTGTGTGATTTTACCCCTGGTAGCTTTTCCAGAAGAGTTCGATGTTGATGAGGTTTGGCGCTTTAGAGATTCTCTCTCTGTGAGTTTGAATGAGCTCTGTGTTTGTCGACATCTCTTCCTGAAAACAAACACATACACACACGACAAATCAGTGTTTAACCTTTTACACGCCATAATCTTTATAAAGGACGGAATGATACAAAATGATTACAATGTTCCCTGAAATACTTGATTCTGATTGGTCAGTCACATCATTCTGTAGTTAAACATTTCTGTGTAATGATGGAAGGGATTTGGGGTTTTTATTTTTATCATTCTATTAATCAGAAAATACTGTCAATAGGAATAAGATGTTCAATCTATCTAGCTATATAAGCATGATAATATACAGTCAGTCATTCATTATCAGAAAAACAATCTACATCATATTTATCTAACAGAGACAAACACACATTCAGTCTAATCTAATGTCACCATTGTAGAATAACACACACTCACACACACACACACACACACACACACACACACACTCACTCACTCACACACTCACTCACTCACACATCTGGCTGTTGAACTGTTTTCGTGCTGCATGTGTGTGATTTTACCCCTGGTAGCTTTTCCAGAAGAGTTCGATGTTGATGAGGTTTGGCGCTTTAGAGATTCTCTCTCTGTGAGTTTGAATGAGCTCTGTGTTTGTCGACATCTCTTCCTGAAAACAAACACATACACACACGACAAATCAGTGTTTAACCTTTTACACGCCATAATCTTTATAAAGGACGGAATGATACAAAATGATTACAATGTTCCCTGAAATACTTGATTCTGATTGGTCAGTCACATCATTCTGTAGTTAAACATTTCTGTGTAATGATGTTAACCTAGAATTGGACAATCTTCCATTTCCAAGAACTAGCTGTGATTAATCACAGTATGTTAAGACAATTGTTTTGTATACAAGTGTTCTAGAAGGTTATGTTTAAATATGCAAATGGGTTTAATGTCAAATTATATATATATATATATATATTTTTATTTTATTTTTTTTACAGAAGGGATTTGGGGTTTTTATTTTTATCATTCTATTAATCAGAAAATACTGTCAATAGGAATAAGATGTTCAATCTATCTAGCTATATAAGCATGATAATATACAGTCAGTCATTCATTATCAGAAAAACAATCTACATCATATTTATCTAACAGAGACAAACACACATTCAGTCTAATCTAATGTCACCATTGTAGAATAACACACACACACACACACACACACACACACACACACACACCTGACTGAAGAGGTGACTCAGGATTTGGTCTGTGAGGGAAGACGTCAGATTGGAGAGCTGCAGAAGAAACACAAGCTGTTTAAGTCATTTTGGGGTACATATTGCCTGTTATTATGCATCAGATTGTGACTTCATGCACAGCTGACAGACCTTCTGTGTGGCCCAGTCCATCCAGCCTCGTGCGTTTGTGTCGATGTTGATCAGAACGAGCCCTTCCACGGCGTCAGGGTTAGTCAACTGTGTGCGAGAGAGAAAAACTATGCTGTCGTAATCAAAGGCATTATTTCTTGTAAATAAGTCTACATTCTAATGCAAAATCCAGTGATAAACAGTGAAATCTCCATCGAAGATGGCTGATGGAGTTTATTTTGAGAGTTTCTCATTTTTACTATATATTTAAACAGTCTGCAAAGTGTAATAACATTCAATGTGCCTCAGTGTGTGGTGTTTTTTTTATTTTGGCCAGCAGAGGGCGTCATTCAGTCTTGGAGTGCCTGCTTGTGTTATAAAGTGAAAAAAAGTGACGTGACATGTGGCCAAGTATGGTGACCCATACTCAGAATTAGTGCTCTGCATTTATCCCATCCAAAGTGCACACACACAGCCGTGAACACACACACACACACACACACTGTAAACACACACCTGGAGCAGTGGGCAGCCATTTATGGTGCGGCGCCCGGGGAGCAGTTGTGGCTTCGGTGCCTTGCTCAAGGGCACCTCAGTCGTGGTATTGAAGGAGGGAGAGAGCGCTGTACATTCACTCCCCCCACCTACAATCCCTGCCGGTACGAGACTCGAAACCGCAACCTTTGGGTTATGAGTCCGACTCTCTAACCATTAGGCCACGACTTCCCCAAGAAGAGATGGCTTGACCCCGACGTGTATATACAGTATATGCTGAATTTTAACAAATTAATGTTGCAGGTTTTAAAAAAACTGAACTTTAATTGTTTTTTTGGTCAAGAGAAAGAAACTAAATTTTAACAAAATTTAAAGATTTTTGATAGACAACATCAACTAAAGGGTCATACTGAACTCCAAAATAGATCAAAGTAGTGAAAGGATTTTGTGATAAAGCAATAAAAAGAAAAAATATTGTAATAAACTATATGGAGAGCAACAAAATAGTTTTAATTTCAGAAGTCTATGCACCTAAATGAAAACTAAAAATTTAACAATAAAAATAACAATATTTGTGTATTTATGTACTGTATCATATTATATTATGGTATTTGTACTCTATATAGACTGTAGCATGAAACTGAATAATGACCATATTCATAAGTCATTTAAATATCACTCCAAGAGTCCATGATATTATTTTAATGTTTTTTTTATTCAATAATCTGTTAATTATGAATTATCTGATAATCAAAAAACTGATTATTTCTTTGATTAAAGAAATACAAAATTTATTTTTTGCACATTAAAAAGAAAGAAAAAAAAAAGAAACAATAATAATGCATGCAATGGTCAGATGTATAACTCACAGTGAACTTGGACAGTATGTAAGCGCCGGCTCCGACTCCAACACCGATAATTGTGCGGAAACTAAACGAGAGGAAAACAATCAACGGTAATACATTCAGTCATATGAAGATCAGAGCTGTTGTCAAGTATATGTGTCGTTTGCAGGTGTCACTAATGAAGATTTAAACATGCAGTAAATGTTGACTCACTTAAAGTACTGCAGGACAGCGGGGAGCATCTCAGAGACCTGATCCATAGATGCATACTGGTATCTGTCAGAGAAAATAAAAACGTTTTAGGACTCTTAACATGTCTAAAACAAGACACAGTGGCCTGCAGACATTTGAAAGCATAAATATAGTCTCTGAGTCACAGTCTGCATCTAACACGGAGAAGGTAAAACCACTAACACCTTCTGAAGACGCTTTGGCAGGTGTCAAATGCCATTTAATGCATTTTAATTGTTCACACTTTTTTATAACACCCACACAAAGTCTCAGCAATCACACACACGCACATACATATATACACATGTACATACATATGGGTGAAATATGGACAAACCCAGCTACTGGGTTGTATTTAACCCAGCATTTTTTAGAGTGTAATATATATTTACACATTAATATATACTGTATATATACAGCACATACCCGGCAGGATAAATGGCCGTGCCGTCCTCTTGTCCCGGAGCGTTCACGTGAACCACAGTGAAGTTCTTCACGATCTCCTGCATCTCTTCAAACTTAAACAGGGTGGAGAAGCAGCTCTTACCTGAGAGAGACAGACAAACGAAAATAAATAATAATTGAATATGCCTTGACCCGAGGTTTGGCTTGAGGGCTCATGACTAGCAAACTACTTTCATTTAGGTAACTGTTAAGCTGGGATACAAGAAAGCATTTAAACGTAGAAAAATTACACAAACACACATCACTGCTTCTTATGTTTACATTAATTTATTCTTTTTTCACTCATTATATTTAAAACTACACAGTAGGCCCAACGTGCTAAACATGGCTAATAGTAATAATATAAACAGAAAGTATACAACAATGTAAACACACACAAATAACACACATATGCCTTTAAACAACCATTAAAAATGGAAAGAGATAAGAGATCGGCTTATTAAAATGACAATGTATCAACTTAGAAGTATGTTATTTACTGATAAAATTTGTTTTGAGCAAGTACAGAGTCAGTTTTGTTATTTTCAAAAGCAAACATGTGTCTGACATCCCAATTTTTCAGGAAACTGAGAAATGTGTTTCAATTTCACTTTTATAAAAAAAAAAAAAAAAGTTGTAAAGGAATCATTCTTTTGAGTCAAATCTTTGCAATGAATCTTTTGAACTGGTTCACAGCCTGGTCTGAATGAATCATTTTCAAACTGAACTACACTACATCAATACAAATGGTAGGTTCTGCATTTGCATTTTGCACTGATTGTCTACTTATTGAACTACGATGGGTTTCTTTTTGACATTTTAGTGTAGACTAAGCCTTACAATGATGGCAGCTCATGACTCGCTTCTGATGAAAATAATTTCTAGCTAATACAACAGTTAATGTCGTATGTGTTTATTTTGGTACTGATGCACTTTGACTCTGTTTGGCTTGTTAAACACACTCATCAAGTGTGAACCAACATGGTCTGAGTGTGAAGAGCTCATCTTGTTTAGCATGATGTGCACAGTTGCTTTTAAATCATCATTTGTATTATTAGATACAGCATCAGTTGTGCTGCAAAAAGAAAAAAAAAATAGTTTGTGGTACATTTCCAAGAAACAGGGTTTATTTTCACACTTGCTTCATTTCAGCCCAATACATATCAGTCCAGTGAGAGTCTCAGACACAAGTGACACTTTCTGAACTTCAGCTCAGACTCAACAAGACTATTTTACAGAAGCTCAAGAATGCCACAAAGGTAAATGACAGAACCACTTTATACACACACACACACACACACACATAGATGAACTGACTCCAACTTGGCTTCCAAGATTAGATTATACCTGTTCCAAAGATAGCTAGGCCTTTAGAGAGCAATGATTTTAGACCGGTTGCATTAGCATCTGTGATTATGAAATGTTTTGAAAAGTGTGTTATGTCTGTTAAAAGCAGAGGTTGCTAACTTAGATCCCTTACAGTTCACCTATAGACAAGGGAGAGGAACTGAGGATGCTATTTACAGCATTATGCACTTGATTTTCAACACACATTTAGAAGATCCTAAAGCTTATGCTTAGTTACTGTTTATTGATTTTAGCTCTGCTTTTAATTTATATGATGAAGCAGCTGTGTTAACCCATGTATTATTAATCTATTTAATCCCAAATTTTTCCCAGATATGAAAATATCCACATGATGTGTCATTAGTAACCCTTTTAAATAATCAATAATTATTATTATTTTTATTTTTTTTATTATTGGAAAAGTGTGTGAAAAATTGTGTTTTATGGGTCGGTCACACTGGACCGGTGGGATAATGTGTGTAATGAAATAACATATTTATACAGTCAAAATATTGTTATATATCTTAGCCCAGCTATTTTAAACTGTTTGATCACATTCTAAGGTTAATATTATGCATTAAAAAAAACGTATACAACATATGGAATACTGAGATAAAAGACAAAAAATACAACCATTAACGTATTTCGAAATTGCTACTTTTTTTGTAAAATATATCATCATATTTTATATTAGTGCTATTAGTATTACAACATCAATATTGTAACTTATTTGTAACATTTGAACTTTTAATTTAGTGCGATATTTTGTCATAGCAACGTTTTAGTGTAATTTTCACTAACAATTGCAATTAAAGAAATACTCTTTGAGAGAAGCAGTCAATCAGCGGAAGTTAAAAGCAGATCGTAAGTGTATTTATTTCTTGTCTCATTAGTGTTTAGAGCAGTTGTCGTTGCTAGGAAACGCTTGTTTTGTTTACTGTGTTGAGACGTGCTGAAGTTGCGTTTGGTCTCGTACTCGCGTACCTTGTCAGTGTCGTGCGCTTGCTTAGCCCTTTGTTGTGATAAACAGTAAAGTGTGTTCAGCTGAATTAAATTTCCGTTTTGTCAAACGGGTATAAAAAAGGGTAGTACACCACGGCAGCCCTCGTGTGAAGACCGAAGAGTGTAAAGACCCTCGACTCTACCGTGCGACTCCACAGTGTAGGGACACAGACAAGGGACATAAATATCGCTTTTGACTCTTTTTTACACCTTTTTTCACTTCTGTTTCAGTTTTTATGACCAACTCTTACTATGTGTTTCCATATTCCTACTATTACTACCACTTGCAAACCACGCATCACACACTGTAGGCAGCGCAATCCTAACAACCTGCGCACTTTGCCTACGTCTGCTAATACATTACTTTTTCTATTGGTCTCTGGAATTGTCAGTCTGCTGTAAACAAAGCCCATTTTATAGTTGTTTATCGACCCCCAGGACCACTAGGTAACTTCGTGGAAGAATTAGATGTGCTGCTCTCAACCTTTCCTGAGGATGGTACTCCCCTAGTTATTCTTGGAGACTTCAACATCCACCTAAATAAACGTCAGGCTGCAAACTTCCACACTCTGCTTGCCTCTTTTGATCTCAAGAGGGTGTTAACTACGGCTACTTATAAATCAGGCAACCAACTGGACCTTATTTACACACGACACTGCTCCACTGATCATGTGCTGGTTACTCCACTGCACACCTCAGATCACTTCCTCCTCACTCTTAACCTCAACATGGTTCCTGACACTACACATACCCCTCCACATGTCATCTTTCGACGTAACCTACGCTGTCTCTCACCCTCCCGTCTATCTGCTATGGTTTCATCTTCACTTCCTCCCCCTGAACAGTTATCATCTCTTGATGTTAACCATGCTACTGATACTTTCTGCTCCACTCTTACGTCTTGTTTAGACACTGTCTGCCCCTTGTCTTCCAGGCCAGCTCGTACCACCTCTTCTGCCCCTTGGCTATCTGATGTTCTCCGAGAACATCGTTCTAAGCTCAGGGCTACTGAAAGTGTGTGGAGCAAATCAAAAAATCCTACTGACCTTAATGTGTATCAGTCCCTCCTCTCTTCATTCTCAGCTAATGTCTCCACTGCTAAAAGGACATACTATTAGGGCTGTGCGATTAATCGAAATCGTCATAAAATCGCGATTTGAGCTTGCGCGATTTTTAAATCGCTTTATAGCACGATTTTGCTCCCGCAGTATGCTATCCAAACCAATCAGAATGCAGCGTGCCTAAATGGAGCACGTGCACGCGCTGAATTAAAGTGGCAGCGCATTATTCGCGGTAAAAATTAACATGGATTGACACGGAAATTTTGTAATTACACCATAAATGCATATAATTAAAGTCTACTGTTTCACAGTCAACACATGGCTTTTTGGCTAGATATAAAACAAGGAAAAGTGCACTTTTAGATAAACAAGGAAATAATAGATGGCACTCGTGGTGGTAGTTAAACAAAGTTATATTTATTGAGTTTAAACGTGAATATGTCTATGAAAGATTGTATTACTGTACTGTGATAAAAGAGAATCACAATGCTGAAAAAGCATTTTCAGAAACAACGTTTGGATTTGAAATCAAAATAATGGATAAATGTTGTGTTTGTGGTAAACAGCCGCGGATCAGGAGCGGACTGCAAACGTGTTCTGTGCGAAAGCAAAATGAGTCCGTGCTGCTTCTGCACCGCATACACATACTGTATTCGCACTGCAGACGGAGTACGTGTGAACTTGGCGCAACAAATCTAGTTCAACATCTGAGGCAACGCCACAAAGAGCTCTATGACCAATGCATGGCAAAAAAAATCTCTGGACACGGGATTTAATTTTTTTTTTTCCTGCCATATGTCTATTCTAGAGACATTGTGTTACACCTTTACTTAGTGATTATTTTGCCTTATGTCTGTTCTAGAGACATGTTACAGCTTCTTGATAAAGCTCTAATTGGTTTTCTTTTGTAAATATGTTTCAAATTCACACTGAATGCATTAATTACTGTAAAGCATGTCTGTGTGTGTCAAAATCGTGATTAAAATCGAAATTGCAAAATTGATCATAGAAATCGCGATAGGTTTTTTTTGTCCATATCGCACAGCCCTACATACTATCATAACAAAATTACCAAAATTCGTCTAACTCTTGCATGATCTTTAAAACATTTCCCTCCCTCCTTTGTCCTTCTCCTCCCCCTCCTGCATCAACTCTAATAGCTGACGACTGCCACATTCTTCATTAATAAAAATTAAAAGCATCAGTGCACAATTTTCCACACCACAATCTGTCAAGCACATTTTACCAGCAAACATACACTCGTTCACATCCTTCTCTTTACTCTCCGAGGCAGAAATCTCCAAACTCATCCTTTCTAATCATCCTACTACTTGTCCGCTTAATCCTATTCCATCTCATCTCCTTCAAGCCATTTCTCCTGCAGTTGTACCTGCGCTCACTCACATCATTAACACATCCCTTCACACTGCTGTTTTTCGCTCAGCATTTAGACAGGCTTGTATAACCCCACTACTTAAGAAACCCACCCTAAATCCATCTCTTTTAGAGAACTACAGACCGGTTTCCCTTCTTCCTGTCATTGCAAAAACACTTGAACGAGCTGTGTCCAATTCTCAACCTTGCCAAGACAGAACTGCTTGTGGTTCCATCAAACCCATCGTTTCATCACAATTTCACCATCCAGTTAGGCACACCAACCATAACTCCTTCAAAATCAGACATAAACCTTGGA